GTTCAGCCCTAGTCTCTGCATTGTGTTTGCATTTCCATAGTTTGATCTCAGCACTCTGTCGCATCCCCAGTGCTTCCGGTCACTCGTGTTGCCTCAATCTGGCAACTCTCATTGAAAATGAATGATTTCCGGTCGCTTTGTCTTTTCAAATCACTGTCAGTGGGAACATCACTGCAGGCTGCTTCTCATCATGAGTGACAGTTTTAAACAGCAAAGTAAGTCTGGGATGGACTATGCTGTGAAGGACATCACAGCTACCTTACTGATGTCCTACAGCCATTAAAGGTGGCGGCGAAAAAGGCTTAAAACAAGTTTTACCCTGTGTATTTTCTGCCACGGGACACAACACAATGAATGTGTTATATGAGGCCAGCAGCACTTTATTTTCTGCCAAGTGAGCAAGTGTGCACTTTAGTTAAACATCAGCTTTTGCTCTGAGTTTCTCGGGGGAAAGTGCAGCTTTTCTGTGCTGCATTAATCAGCAACAGGCATCTAGAGAGCGCGCAGGTAATTAGCCTCTGACAGGAGCTAAAGCTCTTAAAGGCAGGGAATGAAAACAACATACGACTAAGAAGTCCCATCAGCACACGCACGTTCACAGAAGGGTGAAAAAGGCTGCTGGGTTGAGAGCGGAGGCCTGTTTGCTCTGTGTCTGTGACATGCAGGAATAATGCACTCTGACATGTGACCCCGGCACGGAGCGGAGCGAGGGGCTCCTGTTCTCATGCTCCACAGATACTGCAGAAACATCTAGGGAAAGTGCATTACCTCATCTGAAAGCCTTAACGCTGTTTCTTTTAGACCGGACTATGTCCTTTAAGCACCTCGCTTTTGTTAAACGGAGGCAAGTATGCAGAAAACAGATCTGGTTTTCTTGCCATGCCTAAATGACGTCTTGACGAACAAACCCTGTTACCCCAGTTTGGGCTGTAGTTCAGGAAGTATGGAAAATTAACGGAATAAAGTTTTGGTTGTTTTTTGTTTTTAATCAGATACAAAATGATTTTTATTATTATTATATATAATAACTGCCGTTTGGGATCAGTAGAATTTTACCGTTTAAAAAAACCCCAGCAATATTGTGAAATATTCCATTTCAAATAGCCGTTTTCTACGTGAATATATCGTTTTCAAAAGTCTCAGTTTCGGTCCGTTTACACTGAAACGCAACCCCGAAGTTTTCAAACTAAAACGGGATCTGCAGCATTTCTGAAAGTCTCAGTTTTCTAGGGTCGAAAACGCCGGAGTAGTTTAGACGACAGACGTAACCGTCGCAAAAGTTAGGCCTACGCGTTTTAAAATGAAAATGCACTAGTATAAACGTAGCCTCAAGCACTAAAAGGGCTTCAATAACAAACTTGGCTTTCACACGACATCGTCATCCCCCCCACCCGCTACGGTCACCCGCTCTGTTTCCATGGTGCACAGCAGATGCTGCCACTGGGCTTTTAGCCCCGTACGACTTGAATGGCACGACAATGATGTCATGGTATCCCACTCGGCTGTTAGAGCCGGGATTCTCTGGGAAAGAGAGCGGAAAAGTTGTGATGGGAAAATACAAAGGGAAAAAATGTATAAATCACACTGCACAGATCCGTCAATCAAGCAGCGGAACTCACCCAGAAATGAAAGAAACCCCCGAGATTTATGAAAGGAGGGTGAGAAATTCTCAGCTGATGACATGCTGTTTAAGACAACAGTGAGACTGTGGTGTCATCCGCTTTTACACTGCAAACACATCCCTCCCAAATGCACGAGCTTAATTAAAAAATAACAAGGATTCACAGAGCTCAGTACCGAAGCTGAACTTTGAATAATAGAGTTATTATGGCTGAGAGATCGGTAAAACACGCTGGACATGAACTACTCACCGATTTGTGCTTAATTGTTCTCAGATGAAATGGCCTAAACGGCGGTGGCAAACATCCAGACAGTTGCACTTTCAAACCTCTGCCCATTAATCCTGATGTGTTCCGCTCTGTTTCCATGGTGCACAGCAGATGCTGCCACTGGGCTTTTAGCCCCGTACGACTTGAATGGCACGACAATGATGTCATGGTATCCCACTCGGCTGTTAGAGCCGGGATTCTCTGGGAAAGAGAGCGGAAAAGTTGTGATGGGAAAATACAAAGGGAAAAAATGTATAAATCACACTGCACAGATCCGTCAATCAAGCAGCGGAACTCACCCAGAAATGAAAGAAACCCCCGAGATTTATGAAAGGAGGGTGAGAAATTCTCAGCTGATGACATGCTGTGTAAGACAACAGTGAGACTGTGGTGTCATCCGCTTTTACACTGCAAACACATCCCTCCCAAATGCATGAGCTTAATTAAAAAATAACAAGGATTCACAGAGCTCAGTACCGAAGCTGAACATTGAATAATAGAGTTATTATGCTGCTCTGCTCTGCTCTGCTCTGCTCTGCTCTGCTCTGCTCTGCTCTGCTCTGCTCTGCTCTGCGGTCATCTAGACCGAGCCACGGTCAGCCAAGCTGTTCCTCGGACTTCTGTTGCCAGGGCAACGGGCGTGATTGACAGCGCTTTCCACCAATCACGATCAAGCACTTGCCGGTGGGCGGGAGGAGGCGGACCTTGACAATGACATTTGACCAATAAGAGGTGAACAATTAATTAATTAAATAATTATGTTACAGCTATATAAAAAAAGCCTGATGTGGGGTTTTATTTTGAGAGGACAATGTAATCATGGTAGTGTTTACTGGAACTGTAGACATTCAAAGGCTCTCATCCTCTGTGAATTGTATTTATATTTGACAGACAGTTGCACTTTCAAACCTCTGCCCATTAATCCTGATGTGTTTTGCAAACAAACGGATCAGATAGCCTGCTGATATTACATGTTCCAGAGTTTGTCTTGTGACTAATACAGCAGATAATAAACAATTCAAATATTGTAATATTGTAAGCGTTCAACTTGCGCTCAAACTTCTGTCCAGCATGCAAAAGCTAAATATACCTATCCATCTCAATCAGTAATTGCCTAAAACTTCTGTTTTGGCTTTGTTTTTCTATTGTTTTCATACTTGCTGAAGCCAGTGACTGAAAAGTGGTTTGACCAATAGCGTGAAGGCATTGTACGGATCACCCAATCGTGGCGTGCAAGAAGGCGGGATCTACAGACAGTCAAAAGCAATGCAAATACACATATAATACACGAGGACTGTAGAGAGACTGCCAACAGGAAAACAAAGCCAGAACCCAGACGTTTTAGGCAATTTAGAAAAACCCATCCAGGACATGTCTGGGAAGAAGAGGACTTATGTGAATCTGGGAATGAATCCAATATCATGCCATTGCCCGTGTCATTATTAAATGCAGCTCATGACCTAAAACAGCTTTTGCTTTAAGAAGCATTGTTTAAACGGTTAGAGTTATTTCTAACGTAGCCACATGGACGCTGCTGGCAGAACGCTCTGATGAGCTCAGTGTTAGTGTCACTAATTTGGTTACACAATGAAGTGGCTTACATCACTATCAAGTGAGCTTCCAAGTGTGCTTGAGCTCATATTAGTGAGAGTGAGGTGACAAACTTGAGTTTAACCTCTTCTGCTCCACAAACAGAATCAGTTTTGAATGACATTATCAACAGTATTTGAGCCACGTGATTAAATCAGGCTCAATTTGGAGCTCAACCGATGAAACGAGCATGACTTTTTAAACGGATTTAAAGGAATAATTTACCCAAAAATGAAAATGTGCTGTCAATTTACTCACCCTCAGGCCATCCAAGATGTAGGTGACTTTTTTCCTTCAGTAGAATGGTAGAGTTTTAAATGAAACCGTGCTCCCGGGTGATTCATTAAATGCAAGTCAAAAAAAAAAAAAAAGCATAAAAAGCATATCAAGGAGCACATAATGAATACCCGTGGCTCCTGAAATAAAATAAACAAGGTGGATGTGGGGTCTGAAATGTGTTATCCGTGGCAATGCCCACAACAAAATATATTATACCAAGTATACTTGACTTCTAAATTGCCTAAAACTTCTGTTTTGGCTTTGTTTTTCTATTGTTTTCATACTTGCTGAAGCCAGTGACTGAAAAGTGGTTTGACCAATAGCGTGAAGGCATTGTACGGATCACCCAATCGTGGCGTGCAAGAAGGCGGGATCTACAGACAGTCAAAAGCAATGCAAATACACATATAATACACGAGGACTGTAGAGAGACTGCCAACAGGAAAACAAAGCCAGAACCCAGACGTTTTAGGCAATTTAGAAAAACCCATCCAGGACATGTCTGGGAAGAAGAGGACTTATGTGAATCTGGGAATGAATCCAATATCATGCCATTGCCCGTGTCATTATTAAATGCAGCTCATGACCTAAAACAGCTTTTGCTTTAAGAAGCATTGTTTAAACGGTTAGAGTTATTTCTAACGTAGCCACATGGACGCTGCTGGCAGAACGCTCTGATGAGCTCAGTGTTAGTGTCACTAATTTGGTTACACAATGAAGTGGCTTACATCACTATCAAGTGAGCTTCCAAGTGTGCTTGAGCTCATATTAGTGAGAGTGAGGTGACAAACTTGAGTTTAACCTCTTCTGCTCCACAAACAGAATCAGTTTTGAATGACATTATCAACAGTATTTGAGCCACGTGATTAAATCAGGCTCAATTTGGAGCTCAACCGATGAAACGAGCATGACTTTTTAAACGGATTTAAAGGAATAATTTACCCAAAAATGAAAATGTGCTGTCAATTTACTCACCCTCAGGCCATCCAAGATGTAGGTGACTTTTTTCCTTCAGTAGAATGGTAGAGTTTTAAATGAAACCGTGCTCCCGGGTGATTCATTAAATGCAAGTCAAAAAAAAAAAAAAAGCATAAAAAGCATATCAAGGAGCACATAATGAATACCCGTGGCTCCTGACAATATGTTGAGATCTTATGATTATCTTATGTTGAGGTTTCAGCTAAAAATCGCCTTTACTGTTCTTCAAGAAAACAAACAAAAAAAGTCACCTACCTCTTTTATGGCCTGAGGGCGAGTAAATTAACAGCACATTTTCATTTTTGAGTGAACTATTCCTTTAAGGTTTGGTCAGGGGCTATGTTCAGAATAGTGTACTAGCATACTACTCATACATGCAGGATCCATAACATGCGCATTATGGATGTTATCTGTAAGCATACAATACCTAGATAATGTTTGACATTCACCACAGTGCATATCTAGAGTACTGCATGTCATAATGCAGTGTGACTACTTGATGCAATACCAATCTTGGACTTTTATCGGATCATTCACACATTAAAAATGCAAAATAACTCTTTATTGCTGATATGCAAAGTGGGAGATGCATGCTTTATTATGAAACATGCAGTGTAATGAGGTCATGTGACAACTGCACTGCATAATGCACTTGAAAGTGTTTATTTGTTGCATATGTTTTGCATACTACAGAACTTAAATAATAATACTGGCAGTATGAAGTACAGTATATACTGTGCAGTATTAAGCAATATGTTAGTATTCCATTTCAAACATAGCCAGGCATTGGAAATCTCACTTTACCACATGTAAAAGGTAACAACCAATCAGAAAGGAGACGTACTGATGACTAACCAATAGAATGATGCCAAGGACAAACATGGAGTAAGATGCAATTTTTCCCTATTGCATACATGTTGGACACCACACTCCCACAAAGTACTATATATCTTGTGTTTTAGTGCAGAAACATGCTATTTCAAGTCATTTTAAACAAAATTCTCAGATTTAAAAAATATCTCTAAAAAGTCTCTTGTGGAAAGAGTTACTGAAAACGTTTTTGCAGTAATAATAAAAAAAATAAAAAAAATCAAGTCTCAATCGAGTCTCACTTCTTCACTCCAGACCAAAGCTGCTGGTCTCCTCCACAGCGGTGAGAAGTTTCTCATACAGCACAGGGTACGACGGATAGGGAGGCAGATCCAGACGGTTGAAGCATGTGTGCGCCCTGCAGCAGACGAAAATACAGAGGTCAAAGGTCAGGAGGAGGCTTCTATCATGACCTCAGACTGAATCAGTGAGACGAGCTCTACACTTCTGTGATCCGCTTTGCTGTAAAGCACAAGTCTTCCCAGCAGAGCATGTGCAATTCTGTATCTGAGTGAGGCATCTGTATCTTTTCCATCACATTGGCCTTATTTAGCTCTGCCTGCTGACTCGGTGCACACACACAATGACAAACTCCCAGCCGTTCTCACCCTGACAGAGAAATATGAGCCTGTACTTTAGTGCTGACGGCGCCAGGCTTTGATCCGCAGCCCCATCCTATCTTTTCCATGCCAGAACAGAGAGAAATGATTTTCAAGGCGAGACGTCGGATGCAAATTGAGCTGGTTTTCAGGATGACACTTTGTCGTCTCAGGTAGCTTTATTTACAAGTCTAAACAGTAAGGCGGTTTCTTTGCTGTTGTGATACAGAGGTCAAAGGTCAGGAGGAGGCTTCTATCATGACCTCAGACTGAATCAGTGAGACGAGCTCTACACTTCTGTGATCCGCTTTGCTGTAAAGCACAAGTCTTCCCAGCAGAGCATGTGCAATTCTGTATCTGAGTGAGGCATCTGTATCTTTTCCATGCCAGAACAGAGAGAAATGATTTTCAAGGCGAGATGTCGGATGCAAATTGAGCTGGTTTTCAGGATGACACTTTGTCGTCTCGGGCAGCTTTATTTACAAGTCTAAACAGTAAGGCGGTTTCTTTGCTGTTGTGATTGAATTGCAGTGTGGAAGAACCATGGCAGGTAAACAAAACAGTATTTGAACAAGCTTATATTCGACCACACAAAGAATCTGTGGGTAAAAGCACTGCTTGGTGTTTTGCACTTCACGACTCACAACATATTCATTCTATGAAATATAAACTATGAAGAATGTGAAATGAATGTGTAATGGTAGAGCAAATCATTTGGTTTTTAATATTCAGCCCAGGTCTTTAAGATCCTGAGCCTTTCTGTGTAGCAGCTCTAATCTAGCATATATGCAAGCCATCTATATGGTAATGAGCTCCAAAAAGTTGACGAAATGCACGTTTAAATTATCCTCTCTAGGGTAAACGCACCAAAAATATTCATAATGTCACACTTGTTTGTCTCCAGAATGAGGCGTTGCGAGTTCACGTTTTACTGCAGAAGCCGACAAGCGCCTTGTTGTTTTTGAACAGAAGCCGATAAGTCCATTTCAGCGAATCAGCACGCTGTATTCAGGTCAGGTGACAAGGCTACTTTCACTCTGAAAAGACGTGCTAGCTGAGAGGAGTTTCGTCAAAGCTGACTAAAAGTGATCGAGGATCATTTCGACGAACTTGATGAACCTGTGATATCTGCTTCAGGCGAAAAAGGAAAATAAAAGCTGAAATGTTTTCACGGAAGCTTGCGAAAGCAGAGCGTTACACTGATGAGGGAAAAGCTCCGTGTAATCACATCCATACGGTTTATGATCACAACAACGTTTGTCAGGCGTCTACATTCTCATCTGAGGAGATCACAAAGATTAAACCAGTGTTTTTATAAACTCTAAAACATGAAATGTGGAGTTATCTGCTTTTGCTATAAAACAAACTTTTAATATGTAAAAAACAACAACATACTTTCAATGAACTTTAATTTTGTAAATGACCTGTATTTGTTCAAGTTATTATTACTTAATCAAAACAAACCAACTGCAGTTTGATTGATATTACTTGGAATGCGCAATAAAAAAAAAGTGATTTCTGAAAAAAAATTTAATTAAATAGTTATCGGTTTCAAATAAACTCTTCATATATATATATATATTTTTTTTTAGCCAGTTGCCAAGGCAACACCTGATTTAGATGTACTAAAATAGCTAGAAATAAAACTAAATTTTTTTTTTTTAAAACTATATATTCATTTAAACAAATAAGACCAATACTAATAAACCCTTGGTAAATTTGATATATTTTTCTACTTCAGCTAGCATAAAGCTTTCCCTCTTGATGAATTAGCCTTCCCCAAGTACTAAAAAGTCTTCAAGAGTTTTATAAAGCTGTGTTTAGCAATAATTTGGGATATACAGTATGTGATTCTGCAGGCAGAAAGAGTGTCATCTATAGCAGTATACCTTGGTAGAGAGGTAATCTTCCCCCACTTTTCAATGCAGAAACGCCGCAGGCCGTTGCTCCCACGGAGCGCTGCGAAACCCTCGTAGGGGACACTGGACGTTCCCGTCACGAACTGCAGCAGGCGCAGCCTCTGCTCATTATTGAAGCACTCCACCGCATCCCAGAAACTACGAATCACAACGTGCCCATCGTGGTAACCTGGAGGGTGATGGAGATACTGGTAAAGTTAAACACCAATAGGTGCTACGTCACCGGTAGTTTCTGTTGTGTTTACCTTACTCTGAAGTAGGAGCTAATTTAGTGTTATTATAATCATTCCCAGTTGATCCCAGTACTTCCACCAGGATTTACGATGTGTGACCCTGGAGCACAAAAGCAGTCATAAGTAGCACGGGGATATTTGTAGCAATAGCCAACAATACATTGTATGGGTCAAAATTATACATTTCTCTTTTATGCCAAAAATCATTAGGATATTAAGTAAAGATCATGTTCCATGAAGATATTCTGTAGATTTTCTACCGTAAATATACAGTATCAATTTAATTTTTGATTAGTAATATGCATTGCTAAGGACTTCATTTGAACAACTTTAAAGATGATTTTCTCAATATTTTGATTTTTTTGCACCCTCAGATTCCAGATTTTCAAATAGTTGTATCTCGACCAAATATTGTCCTATCCTAACAAACCATACAATCAAAAAAGGCTTATTTATTCAGCTTTCAGATGATGTATAAATCTCAATTTCGAAAAATGTACCCTTATGGCTGGTTTTGTGCTCCAGGGTCACATAAGAACTATGAAGACGTTCCTCTGGTGTGAAAGCCGCTCTTGTTTAACTGGTTCAGGTGTGTTTTATTGGGACTGGAGCTTAACCCTGCAGAAAAGTGGCCCTTTGGGAGCAAGAAACAAGCTTATTTAAATTAGCCAAAATATAAGAAGAAAAGAGAATGTGTCCCTCTAAAGAGGCCCTTCAGGCGTCTTTATCCGAATGTGCATAGGCTGTGCAGGAAAAGTCAACAGAAGACTTCAGAGACTCAACCCGAGGTTATCCCGACATCGCAGGGTTATATGAAATTCTACAGGGTTCACCCGTCACGCTTTTAATGTCAACAGCTCCGTTCTAAATGATGAACTGCAATCTAAACAGATGGGATACTTGTTTTGGCATTAGCTGTGGGATACAATCCTGTTGACCCTCCATAGTAATTCACAGCAGAAGACCTGAAAGAAAAGTGAGACCACTTCACATGGAACAAATGCTTAACCCGAGCAATCAAGCTTCTACTCACTATTGAAGACCATGTGAGCATTTCTCTCCAGTAATTAAACATTTATGGATAGCTTTTAGAACAAAACTGACATATATTACCCAATGCTGACAGAGCAGCTGCCATGAATTTTTAAAGACAACGCAAGCATCTGCTCACCTCCTCTATATTCTGTGTTGGATCTCCAGTCGTTCAAATCGATCTCAGCCGTCCCAGCAATGACCAACTCCAGCTCACGAGCGTCGAACACTGAAACCAGACGGGAGTCTATGACCTGCATTATAAAAGAACAGTTTATACAGTACATGACATTCAAATCATCTGAATTAGATTAGTGAATAATTCTGTAACTAATTTTCAGTGAAACTACCATCCAAGCTAACGTACCTCATAGAAACCTCTTACAAGGGCTTCGGTCTGCTGCATAACCCCCCTCTCCACCCTCCATCTAGCCATGCGCTCGATGTATTCCTTCTTGTTCTTCTCCGTCACTTGGGTATTGGAGCCTCCCGACTTCAGTTCCCTCTCTATGACCTGTCAAAAGATGTAAAAAGTTTTAACGGTTGGTACAAACCTTTGTTGCAGCAGAAATAATGTTTACAAGTTTTACTGACATGGCACCTATAAAGCAAGGATTCATCCTGAGCCACCTTTTTGTTGTGTGTAACTCTTTTAATGTTAAAATATTTTTCTGAGAGTTGGTTAAGTAAGCCAGGGGTGTCCAAACCTGCTTCTAGTCGGTTATCATTCTATAGAGTTTAGCTCCAACTTATTTCAACACACCTGCCTGGAAGTTTCTAGTGATCCTGAAGACCTTGATTAGCTAGTTCAGGTGGGTTTAATTAGGGTTGGAGCTAAACTCTGCAGTGACCCTCCAGGAAGAGGATTAGACACCCCTGAGGTAAGTCACTAAAGGGTTAGTTCACCCAAAAATGAAAATTAGCCCACAAATGACTCACCCTCAAGTCATCCTAGATGTATATGACGTTCTTCTTTCAGACGAATCCAGTCGGAGTTATAATAAAAATGGTCTTCGATCTTTCAAGCTGTTTAATGGCACTCAGCCGGTGTTGCATGCATCAGTCCAAAAGAAGTTAAATAACAGGCGCCCATCCATTAAAAAAAAGTGTCTCACATGGCTCCGGGGGGTGAAGAAAGGCCTCCTGTAGCGAATCGATGCATTTTTGTAAGAAAAATATCCATATTCAAAACATAATAATCACTTTAATGTAGCTTGCGCCAACAGTCTTACACGGAAGCAGCTCTGGGCGGATGAAAGATCTTGAGCTTGAAAGATCAAAGACAATTTTTATTATAACTCCGACTGGATTTGTTTAAAAGAAGAAAGTCATACACACCTAGGATGACTTGAGGGTGAGTCATTTGTGGGCTAATTTTCATTTTTGGGTGAACTAACCCTTTAAGACAGTGGTCTCAAACTCAATTCCTGGAGGGCCACAGCTCTGCGGAGCTTAGCTCCAACCAGCTCCAACTCACACCTGCTCGGAAGTTTCTCGTGATCCTGAAGAGCTTGATTAGCTGGATCAGGTGCGTTTGATTAGGGTTGGAGCTAAACTGTGCAGAGCTGTGGCCCTCCAGGAATTGAGTTTGAGTCCAATTCATTAAGAAGTTGAGTGTAAACCAGTGTTTCTCAACCCTGGTCCTGGAGGCCCCACTCTGGTTGGGTTTGTACTGGGATTGAGAAGCATTAGTGTAAACAGTGTGGCTCGGTTTGCATTGGTGACCCCGACGTGCCAACTTTTAGTACAATGTGGTTTTAGTACAACTTAATACAAAACTGGTAACCAGGTTTGGCTTGCTATACGTAATGGAGATGCCTGAGCATGAGACTCAATTTCCTTCAATCCTGATCATAGATCATTATCATTGCTTGTATTTTGGTAAGACACTAGGGATGAAACGATTAGTTGATATTAAAGACAACGTAAACAATAAAAAATTGTCAACAAATATTTTTGTTGTTGAATATTCTTTTGTATCTCATATGACCTAATGTAACAGCCTGCAATAACGTGGTTTGACCAGTGTGGCGATGTAGCACAAGACTGTAATTCGGCCCTCCTGGATGTAATACAATAGAAGTAGAAATGCTTATGAGACGTGCAAATGAACCCGAACCAGTAGCGTGTGGGAAATTTTATCAAAAAAAAAAAATGCTGTTATGTGTAAAAGGTCCGATATACTGATGCTGAAGCTATTTTTTCATTCCTTGGTTAGGGATAAAAATACGTTTTGTGTTTGTGAATATCCCAACACTGCTGAAAGCGGCATTTAGATGAATACGTAAATATATGCTGTGCGCTTTCCTCTCAGTAACAAAATAAACACAACAAAAATGACAACATGGGAAAACAGTAGTTAAGAAAGCATCTGATCATAGCAATGTGGATACGTTTGAATCAGCTCTGCAATCGGCACTCCAGTCTAATCACGTTTATTTATATAGCTCTTTATACAATAGATTGCTTTAAAGCAAGCAGCTTTACAGTATTTAACATGAAAAAACAGTGTTAGTGTCACTTTCAGTTAGAATTACAACTTGATATTCTGCTATAAAGCAGCTCTATATGTATGAATATGTATAGAATATGTACAACTCAATATTTTAAATAATTACAAAAGCTGAATAATTGATCAAAGACTACTGATTAATTGGTGAAATAGTTGACGGTTAGTCAATTAATCATTTTAATAATCATTAGATTAATCGATTATCAAAATGATAATTTGTTGCAGACACATGAAAACCTCCTTGAAGGTGCTTCAAAAACAGAATGAATTATCCAGCACCTGTCCAAAGACCTCCTCGTTGACTGTAAACGTCAGATCCAGGATATCCGTGATATCGTTGTCCTTCATCCACTGTAAGCTCTGGTGGAACTCCTCATCCAGGTATTCCAAATCACTCAGATCTGTCACTCTATGGACCACACAATACAGACATCCAATCAAAATCCATAATTTGAAACTCACTTTATTGTGTCACCTTGACGCCAAAAAATCTCTGCGACTCACAGTCTGAGCAGGGCCTTGTAGAACGGTCGAGTGAAGAAAGCATCCAACAGATACTGGTGGATCAGAGCCAGACCCAAAATACGGCCACTGAAACGGAACCTGTGAGGGTCCAGCAAAACATTTATCCATGTCATAATGTTCTGTGCATGCTCCAATATAACACATATCCTGTTTTTGAACCAATTATAGGCTTTTGAAATTCTCTACCTTCTGGATAGGGCTTGAAAGTCAGACACTGTGACTTGGGACAACTTTTAAATTCAATTAAACGTTGTGAATCTCAACACTGACATTCACTAGACGTGTCCTCTTCTTGGATGAAGTTCAAGGCAAACGCTGAGAATTTGTCTTTGTATTTAGTTTCCGAACACTGTAATTTACTCAACAAGAGGGCCATTTTCCCTGTCAGTCAAAATCCCAAAATAAGAGACAAAACAAAGACGTAGCGTGACCGCTTCTGACCAGAAGGCATGCGATTCCTCAACCACATGCCACATCAACCAGAGAACTACAAAGCTGAACTTCAAAAACATTCCAAGTCTAAGCAGCAATAATTGGGGATAAAGAGAGATACAGTAGTAAGGTAGAAAACGGAAGATCTCTCACCATTCCAAATGGTTCTCTACAAATGCAGACATGGGGCTGACCTGCACCGTATACGTGTCATTGGCTGAGTACTCAAACAGACCGTAGTAGGGGTTAAACAGCTCCTGAGACAACAGGAAGAAGAACTCCCGCGATGGCCCGCTGTAATCCAAACTATAGGGAACATGAACGCAATATTTTAGATCAGTTAAGATTCCAATTTCTGGTTTGTATGTCTGGCAATAGCATGCATGTGAATGAGAACACAGTCGACTGACCCTTCCTCTCCTACAAAGGTGATGTAGAGCTTGTTTCTCTGGAGCTCTTTGCGTGAGTAGGCCATTACTTGATTAAAGGTGCCTTCCAGTAGATGTTCCCTTCTGATGATGAGCCTCGATAGCAACACAAAATAAAACCAAATCAAAATCAATGTAACATCCATCCATCCATCTATCTATCATCATGTCTGTCTGTCTGTCTGTCTGTCTGTCTGTCTATCTATCCATCCATCCATCCATCTATCTATCATCATGTCTGTCTGTCTGTCTGTCTATCTATCTATCTATCTATCTATCTATCTATCTATCTATCTCTATCTATCTATCTATCTATCTATCTATCTATCTATCTATCTATCTATCTATCTATCTATCTATCTATCTATCTATCTATCTATCTATCTATCTATCATCATGTCTGTCTGTCTATCTATCTATCTATCTATCTATCTATCTATCTATCTATCTATCTATCTATCTATCTATCTATCTATCTATCTATCTATCTATCTATCTATCTATCTATCTATCTGTCTGTCTATCTGACACACTTACTTGATTTTTCCTGGTCCCTGGCCGTAACCTTTAGCCTCCAGCTTCCTGTAAAAATTGCGAAGTTTTGCCTCAAAGTCTCTGCGGTATGGAGCAGGCGCTCTGGCCCTCTGCAAGCCTGTCAAAATACATAATACCACTGCATAAAATGACACACTGCTCTATTTTTGAACATTTCCTCATTTAAAAATGTCATACAATGTATTCAAATGAAATAAAAGTGGGCAAGAAGCCAAAGAAAAGATACATTTAATCAGAGGTGTAAAGTATTGGAGTAAATGTACTTAGTTACTGTACTTGAGTATCTTTTCGGGGTACTTTGTAGTTGTACTGAGTATCAAAGATATTAGCAACTTTTACTCTTTACTTCACTACATTTCTGAATGAGTATCTGTACTCTTTACTCCACTACACATTATTTTATTTATCCATTATACTGAAGAGACCTTTTTGAAAGATATTGTTTTTTGTTTTTTGTTTATTTTGTTTTGTAATTTTGAGGTGTTCAGTTTTATTTTGGTTTTAGAAATAAAAATCAACTCTTTCTTGTTTGTGTTTCACGCTCTCTGTGCCTTGCCCTGGACTTTTATGTCACTTCCTGTCTCCCGTGGTGTTTGTAGTCAGTTTGTAGTCCGTTTGTTCATTGGTTCCCCTTGATTAGTCTCCCCAGGTGTGTCTTATCTTGTTAAGCTTGTTAGCCCCCGTGTGTATATATAGCCCTAGTGTTTCTTTAGTTCCTTGTGAGTTGTTGAATGTAATGGTTGTCTGTTTGCCAGGCATTCTGTTCTTTGTTCCCTTTGGGTTTTGCATGAAATACCTGCACATAGATCCTTGCCTCTGCCTGTTTTCTGCAGCTTCTCCACAACAATGTTACAGTTTTTCACTGGCATGTCTCTTTGACTAGTGCATCT